CTCGGTACCCGGGGACGCGCCCCGTCCCCTGAAATGGGTCGTCCCGCCAAAACGGGCGTCCCGATTTCGAACGCTAGAGACGAATAACAAGAAAAATCCGAAATATTAGAATTTTTTACGGCAGTTTTCAATAGCGAGAAAATTTTCCAACAAAGTAATTTTTAGCTTAAAAATATCTGGTTTCTCGATTTTTTATGCTAATATTCTTTTTTTATATTATCGGATTGTCTAGAGAATCCTCTCGAAAAATTAGAGATGAGGGGAGCCGTAGTAGTAAAGCAGTGCGGAATCGACGTGAAGGCCAAACCCCTTTCACCTCACGGCCAACAGTCGAATATACAAATGAAGCAACCGGATAAATGTGAAAAAAGCAGCCGGCACTTCACGGGTTCCGCGATCTACCATACTTTGCATGCAGAGTGGGCGGGGCTTAGCTAGTTTCCAAAATTTCTGCGGATAGATAAGTTTTTCGATAATTTTTTAAAGTTTTGAATGCCAAATAGCCTGAAAAATTGTTTTTAAACTATTTTATGAAAACTGAGGCGGGGAAAGAGAAACACCCTGTGGCCGTGTCCGGAGGTCCCACAACAAAACTTGACATTATTTTTTGTTCGTTATTTCTTGGAATTCAATAACCTAGTTTATTTTTCTGAGCTTTGAAAGCCTTAAAAGAAGTAAAAAGACAGCTGAGCCACAATGATTTCGGAACGAATTGACATGATATCTAACCTCGAGCATTTTTCAAAAGCACAGGCAGATGGTGACCGTCTTAAAGCACACAAAAAGGATCATAAAATTACTTTTTTTTAATGTAATGCTTATTCTTTTCCTATTCACAATAAATTTCTTATGTCATTATGTTTCTCACGATTCTACACCGTAATAAATTATTATTATTATGTAAATGGCTTCGAACACGGATAGCACCGTCTCTTGTCACTTCGATTCTTTTTTATGACCACGGACACAGTCTGCGTCTCTTCACTCGTCCCCTCTCCCTCGTTGCTTCTTCCATCTAGCTCCATCTCCTCATTCGCATTCCTATGACTGGTATCTGATTTTCACCGGTCTTTTGTTATTGATTTTCGGAAAAAGTTCATTTGCTTGTTTCTTATTTATTTCTATATGGATTTTCGAAAAAGAGGTGAGATTTCTGGTTTTTACTATGAGAAAATTTTCAACAAAAAGAGGAGAAAGTGTTTGATGACCATGAAATCTAGACTTGTAAGAAAATGGCTGTCCGGACCCGGTCATCCACATTTATCAGGTTTATGTAAGACCATTTATGGACTACCAACTTAAACATTTCACAATAAATATTAAAAAAACTGGAATCTCTGTGTTTCTGTGGGGATCCAAATGAAGTCAATTTTTTTAAAAAAATTCATTAAAAAAAATAACTATTTCTTTTTTCAGGACTGTTCGATGTCAGGAAATGCATTCGATTTGGATAGAGATGAATGATTTCAGCTCAAAGGTCCAGTACATCACTTCGAAAAAGTTTGAGACAAACTGCGGGATTCGATGCTCTGGAGGATAAAATTCCACTCCGATTGCACTCCCCTGTCCGAACTACAAAGTAAGTTTATTTAGCGATTTTTGAAGGAAACAATGTGAATTTTTTCAAAAGCGGTTCAAAGACGGTGGTAGCAAGGATCAATTGGCCCGAGATTGCGAAATCCGACCAAGCGCCGCCACGAGAGATCTCCTGTGAGCAAAAGAACAAAAGTAGTGAACGGGACGCCAAGGTTCGTCGTGATCGTGATGAAGACTATCATGGTGGAGAGCACCGTCACAACGGCGAATCTCGTGCAAGTTCTCCGACGAACAAACGATATGATAGCCCCAGTAAACCCAAGACTTTTGATTCTACGACCAGCGATTGACACTGACAAGATGTTTGCTGCTTCTCGATTCTGTATTTTATTTTAATTTTTTCACTTTTGAACTTCAATAAGTAATTGGTAAATGACAACGTCGATTGAATAAATGACACTTTTTAAGGTAATTTTCCAAGAGAATAGTGAAACGATGAATGCAATTTTCCAGTTCGCAAACTCAGTTGACAATGGTTGCCAATTGTGAGGGCAATTTATCTCTTTGTTAACGATTATTGCATCTAGTTTGGCATCTTGGATGTTAGAGATGGATTAGGGCTCTCAACACTTTCCCATAGAACTTTTTTTTCCAACAGTAGGACCATTCCCAATCCAAAGGTTTTGAGTCAGGGAAAAGGAAACACTGTAAGTTTGCAAAATTTTCATGTTCCTGAGATGATAATCCGTGTTTTTAAACCTATGCATGCAGAAAACATGACACGGCCAGCTAGCTCATATCGTGAGTCTCATGAAGATCACAGCTACCAACAAGGAAGAAGTGTAAGAAGGAAGCAGATTCCGCCACCTTCTTCCTTTAAATCGAGTAGGTACCACGTACCCCCATTTTCGATATTTTGTAAAACTTTTCTCAAAATGATCTTAACGAATTCAATTCGGGTCCGTTTTTTTTTATCGATAGAAATTCTCTATGGCTATCCGGTTGCCAAAAATCGTCAAAAGTTGAACCGGCTGAACCAAGATATAATTAAAAACGTACGAGTGGATCCGGTTTTTTGCATGTTTTCAGTTTTTTCTGCCGAACTAGGGCCTAAATAAAAAATCCGGCTTTCCCATTCGATCCGTAATTTTAATAGGAATGTTGACAAAAATATGACTTAATTTGATTAAAAATAAAAAAATGTTAATAGGTTTTGAGTGAAATGTTTGAAATTCCGAGGGTCCAGCTTCCACCTCTTGGTACTCGAAAACCACTGGATTCATTTGAAAACCATTGTGGATTCAACCAATGGATTCATTTGATTTTTCGTCTCCCCATAAAAGAAGGTCCCTAATTTCATTTTTCGTTCTTAGATTCTTTCCAGGTACGCTGGTTTGTGAGATTCAGGTGAAAAACCACATAAAAAATTGGATAAATATCTTTAAAAAAATAATAAATCGTGAAAAATCGTTCGAAATCTTTGCCTCGAAAAATCTTTCTCCTGGAACATCTTTCCACTAATTTTTGTTCTTTTTCAGGTTTTGTTGCTATCAATGGTATGTAACGAGATCCAGAATTTTTAATCCTGATAAAGCACTGAGCCAGGGCCGCAGGGCCTGCAACAGATTCCACTCGATTCCAAACTTCTAACATACAGGCCTTTTGATAAACTGGTTCCACAGAACTGGTGAATCTGATTCCACCTGATTGAGCGGCAAAGCCGTGCCTAGCGGAGTCTGCCGTAGGCCGAGGACGCTAGTCGCCACTTTGTATCACGTAAGTTTTAAATATAAGAGAGATCATATTTCAAAATTTTCACGTTTGAGAGAAAATAATCAAAAAAGAGAAATATTATGAGAATTTCCACATTAAAACTACGATTACAAAAAAAGTTATTTTTAAATGGGAATTTTCTTATTTTCCCCAGAAAATGTAGCGTAACATTTATTTTCATTAAATATGGGTTTTCATGAAAAATCCACATTTTTTTGATTTATATTTTAACGTTTTTATTAAAATTAAAAAAAAAACTCACAGAATCGTTCTGCAGAACGATTCGGTGAGAGAAAAAAATGACGCGAAAATTAAATCACAGAATCGTTCTGCGGAACGGTTCTGCGAAGAACACAGTTTTGAATAGAAAACAAGAATTTCGATTTTTTCTGCGTGAGCACAGTATTTTTCAAAGAATTCGTTTTGAACATCCAAACGTGAAAATTTTGAAATTTGATCCCTCTTATATGCAGATCAAAGAAAAATATTTTATTACTGCAGATTGATGAAGTTAACAAGATCAAGGGGATGACTAGCCCAGCTACCAAGAAAAGCAGAAAAAAGCTCCAGTTCAAAGAAAAGCTGTCCCTGAAGCTTCATTTCCTGTCGTCCTAAACTCGATTCCAAACCCACCAGCCATTGATCCTGCTCTCTTGAGTACTCTTCCATTCCCATACGCTGGTCTCTCCACTCAAACTCCAAATTCATCGACCACCCCAGCAGTCCAATTCGTCCCACCAGCCAATCCATTGAATTCCTTCTCCTCGATTCCATGGTTGAACTCAGTGAACAATCCATACCTTTTCGCTGCAATGGGACTTCAGTTCTCAACCATCCCATTCCCGTATTTGCCTTCAACCTCGTTTGCACAGCACATTCCAACGTCTTCCATCTTTCCAGGCTCTCAGCTCACACAAGCGGAAGATTCAGTAAAGACTGCAGATATCGATAAGGTCATCAAAGAAGAGGTTTCTGTTTGAATCCAAAATTCTCCCTACTTTCTTTCAATGCTTCAATGATACGATTCGGTGATCCAAAACTCTCCAACCCATCTCTCTGCCTTTTCTTGAACCTGTCTTCCCATACACACCGATCTCATTCTCTTTTTTTTTTTTCAAAATCTCACTCCAAAATTGAAAAATGTATCTCTCCGTCCATCTATGACATGATTTTACTGTTTTTTTTTTTCAAATCTTTCTTAATAAATCCATCACAAACTTCAGAAGCTTTGTTTTTTCCGCATTCTCCGTTGTGAAGACGCATTTTATCGAATTGGCGCCTGTAAGCTCAGAAGCTAGGATTGGAGCTTATAGGTATCTTGACTTGATGATTCTGAAACTTTTATTCTTGCGAAAACGAAATCAGCTCCCACATTGTAGTTGACAACTTTTGGAAAACTTATTTTTCTACACCGCGTTTTCAAACTCATGGTTTTCGTAATCTCAACACTTTAATCATTTGCAAGTGAAGCATTTTCAGATGCCAATCCCACTGCTGAATTTCCCTTCAGATCTCCTTCGAGACGTACTCAGACGAGATGAAAACTCATGCCGGCGAAGAAGTGCCTTGTCGGCATGAGAATTTTTGGTTTCGGCATGATAATTTTGCTTGCCGGCAAGAAAGAGTCATGCCGGCCAGAGTCATGCCGGTATGGTAGGGAAAGAAAAATCATCCGCCGGCGAGGAAACGAAGCTCCGAAATTCCAGAGTGTTTTTAAAAATTTCAATGTATTTACGTTTTCCTATTTTCAAGCGTTTTCATTTTTGTTTCACTTTCAAAATATTTTCCAAATTCTAGAAATTATGGCTCCCTCGACTTCTCAACCAACTTGCGATAGAAACGAGAGTTGAGAAGGTTTGAAATTGTCCGGTTTTCATAAAATATAAACAATCAGATTTTTCAGATACTCTTGACATAACAATACCATTAATTTTCAGTCAGCGAGCTTTGACCAGGAATCAAGGATTTCGGTTCGAACAATCAATTACTCTGAAAACGGAACGAATTCAAACCAACATCATTTGCTTCAATTAGAGGAAATTGTGAAGAATTTGGAGACTAATCTAGTTCTTGGGCCTTATCCACATTTCTCAAATTGTAAATGTAATTCCCTACTTCCTTTTGTTTTTTGGAAGATGTTACTTTTAAGTCATTTCTCATTAATAAATGATGCATTTTTATTGATTCATCGGCTGCGGAGGGAAAGGGGAGGATTGAAAGAGCTTTTCCATGCCAGCGTGACTTTCAAAAAACCTTGCCGGCCTGAAAAAACCATTTCTCCTGCGGCATGTACGCCGCAAGAAAACTTGATTTTTCGCGCCGGCGAGGTTTTTCATCTCGTCTGAGTATTCAAGGAGTGTGATCCGTTTCATTTGTGAGTTTTGAATTCCAAGCAGGATCCTATCAAAAGCTTCTCATTTCTAGATACAAACTATCGAAATGCTCTGGAAGAACTCGGAAGTCTACCATAGCGTATAGTACGAATAACTGGAATCGTTTTCCAAGAGGAAAATATTTTTCATGAATACGAAAATCTATATTTTCCCTGTAGGAAAATAATTTAGCACTAGATTTTTCAAAAGAAAACGCTTTAGTTTTCTTAAAGAAAACATTTTCCACAGAAAATGCGTTTTCCTAGGAAAACGTTCATGAATACGGTCTCTGATTTCTAAATTATAGAAAACAATTTCGTTTTTAGTTATGATCATGTCCTGGCATTAGAACTAGTCCTCCAAAAAGGATTTTGATTTTGATAAAGAGATTTTGGAGTACTGCCAAACGGATGTCAACATTTTATCAGTGGCCATAGTCAGTTTATTCAGGCAAATCTTTTTTTTGCATCCAATTTACATTCCTTGATTGACAGGCGATAGAAACACACTATTAGAATGTTTTGAATAGAAGTAACCTTGGGAATAACCTTTTCTTATTTCTACCGGGGGCTTGATTGACAGGTGGTCTCCGACATTGAATACCTAACTGTGGAATATTTCAAAAAAAGTAATTTCAGACTTGTGATCGAACTAACGAAGAAAAATGGAATCCAATAGTTCAGTGTCCTACTTTGGCCTCATTTTTGATGCTCAAAATGACCCATGAACACATTCAAGATGGGGACAATGGATATACAAAACCGTTTAATTGATATGACTGTTTAACCTCTGAATAAAAAGTTTCACTTCTGTTTTACCTCTGAATACTATTCAAAAATGGTTGGAAGAGAAATCTCTGGTGGCTGTTGCCACATTTCGACTTATGTTTTCTCTTGAAAATGCAAAACAGAAACTTGCAGTCAAAACTTTCCAAAGTTCAGCGAAAAAACTTACAGATCCAACGAAGCTGTGCCAATTCGCTAAGCCACGCCCATTCTGCATGTAAAGTATAGTAGAGAGCGGAACCCGTGAAGTGTCGGCTGCTTTTTTCATACTTATACTTGTCGGTTATTTTGTTCTTTGGCCAATAGATGAAAGGGGTTTGGCCCCCGGAGTTTACATTCCGGCAATTTTCCAAAATGTGCACATATCCGTTAATCTCCCCTCATCTCAAATTTTTCGAGAGGGTTCTTTCGAGAATCCGACAATAGAAAGAAACGTTCTTCAACGAAATTGTTTTCCTTTTTTTTCAATTCAGAAAAATTGTACTTTTGAATCTCGGATTTTTAAATTCATAAGTTTTGCCGCGTTCAAAGTTGATTTCCAGGAGTAATTTTCTGGAGAAACGGTGTCCAAAGTTGCCCTTGGTTTCCAGTTTTCCAGTAACACTAAGCTGCTGTAGTTTCGACTGTGCTTTTACTGTTTAAAATGGGAATTCATGTCGATTTACGGCGGGTCTCGAAACGAAGGCCTCTTGAAAACAATGGTAGCGTTGGACAGCGTTTTTCCAGGAAATTTCTCCCGGCATTTGAGATGTTTTATTGTTTGGAAAGGGAAATCACAGAAAATTTTTGAAAAAGTTTCGAAGTATTCGGTATATCTGTATTTTTTTGCTATATTTTGAAAACGTAAGAATGCAAATGTCTCATGAAAAAAGTGTGAGAAATTGCAATTATAACAAGAATTGGAGCTGTTGAAAAGAAACCCCTGGTGGCCGTGGCAAAGGTCGTACATTGTAAACTACCGTACCTAAGAATACTGTAATTTTCTGACTTCTACATCTGCTTTACAATGGTGATTTTTTTTTCATATTTTATAGCAAAACTTGTATCCAAAACTTTCCAAAGTTCAACGAAAAACTTACAGACCCACCGAAACTGTGACAATTTGCTAAGCCACGCCCATTTTGCATGTTAAGAATGGTGGTGCGCGGAACCCGTGAAGTGTCGGCTGCTTTTTTCACATTTATACTGGGAGTTTGTTTTATTCTTTGGCCAATAGATGAAAGGGGTTCGGCCCCCGGAGTATTCACTAATTCCGTTTTCACTAATATGCTACTCAGTCTCCCCTCATCTTTTATTTTTCGAGAGGATTCATTTGTGGATCCGACAATAGAAAAGAAACGGTTTTGAACGAAACTGTTCTCCTTTTTTTTCAATCCAGAAAAATAATACTTTTGAAACTCGAATTTTTAAAATCATAAGATTGAAAACGTTTTCATTTTTTTGACAGTGTACGCTCTCGGAGAGAGCGGCTCTCCCACAGAACAATTCCGAACTGCAAATTAATTTTTGATCTGCAGAAAACAAATTTGGCGCGATCACAATTGCAGGTCTAAAACCATAATTTCAGAATTTTTAATCTGATTTTGTGGAGTTCCAAGATGATTCAAACGATTCTTAAAAAATTAATTAGTGGTTATAGATTCATGTATGGTCCTTTTCCGGAAGAAAAAAATGTCAAAAATGATCATTTTTGAAAGTTTTTTACAGAAAAAATCTATCTCCTCTTTCAGTTTTTGACATTTCTAGGAGTTCTATAGCTCAAAAAAACCGCAATAATTTTCTCTACATTTTCTATGGATGAATTTTTAATTTGTCTGATAAAACTTTTTTATAATCAAAAAACAACGCAAAAATTCTATTATGTGCAATTTCATGAGGTTTTTGAATTTAAAAAAAGTTTTATCAGGCAAATTAAAAATTCATCCATAGAAAATGTAGAGAAAATAATTCCGGTTTTTTTGAGCTATAGAACTCCTAGAAATGTGAAAAAAACTGAAAGAGGAGATAGATTTTTTCTGTAAAAAACTTTCAAAAATGACCATTGTTGACATTTTTTCTTCCGGAAAACGACCATACATGAATCTATAACCACTAATTAATTTTTTAAGAATCATTTGAATCATCTTGGAACTCCACAAAATCAGATAAAAAATTCTGAAATTATGGTTTTAGACCTGCAATTGTGATCGCGCCAAACTTTTTTTCTGTAGATCAAAAATTAATTTGCAGTTCGGAATTGTTCTGTGGGAGAGCGTGCAGTGGGTTTAGAAAGGGAAATAACAGAGCAATAAAATTTTTTAGAGTTGGAAACTTTCAGACGAGAATGTTCAGTGTTTTTGGAAAAAGTACATATACAGCTTTTTGCAGTTGGTTAACAAGAATGTCAACCAACCACTGTCAAACAATCAGAAATTCTGAAAGCTTTTTGAAAAACACAGGAGTTATCGCTTTGATCAAATCTCTGCTTCTATTGTCGGATTCTCAAGAGAACCCTCTCGAAAAATTAGAGATGAGGGGAGAAGGTTGACGAGTTTTAGAAATCTGCAATGAAAACTCCGGGGGCCAAACCCCTATCATCTATTGGCCGGAGAACAAATTAACCGGCAAGTATAAATGTGAAAAATGCAGCCGACACTTCACGGGTTCCGCTCTCTACTATACTTTACATGCAAAATGGGCGGGGCCAAGGAGTTTGGAAGTATCCGGTATATCTGTAGGTTTTTGCTAAATTTTGAAAGTGTAAGGATGCAAATTTCTCATAAAAAAGTGTGAGAGATTGCCATTATAACAAAAATTGGAGATGTGGAAAAGAAATCCCTGGAGGTCGTGGCAAAATCCCTGGTGAGCGTACATCGTAAACTAGTGTGGCCTAAAATTACTGTATTTTTATTATCTTTGCCGCTGTTGTATGATGGTGATTTTTTCCAATTTTCATCACGAAATTGAATCCAAAACTTTCTAAATTCTGTGAAAAACTTATTCAGCCATCGAAAATTCCAAAATTCGCTAAGCCCCGCCCATTTTGCATGTAAAGTATAGTAGAGAGCGGAACCCGCGAAGTGTCGGCTGCTTTTTTCACATTTATACTTGTCGGTTATTATGTTCCTCGGCCAATAGATGAAAGGGGTTCGGCCCGCGGAGTTGTCATTGATTCCGGCCTTTACAGACTAAGGGATCTGTCTCCCCTCATCTCTAATTTTTCGAGAGGATTCTTTTGAGAATCCGGCAATCAATCATTCATATAATAAATAAATGAAGTTGCGTCTCTTTCTCTGTTTGTTTGTTTGTTTATAACTTTGTATACACATTTTGGAAAAGCTTAGAAAATTAAATGTAAATTTCCGTGACCTGTTGGGAAGGAGTAAGGAACGTAGCGACGAACAGTAAAAGAAATAGGTTAAATTGTGCCGAAGGCGCACCAGCCAGATGTTTGAAGCGCCGGAGGCGCGGCAAACAGGTTGGTAGAAAAAAAAAGATTTTTAACGAAATTGTTCTCTATTTGTTTCTTCAATGCAGAAAAATAATACTTTTGAAACTCGGATTTTTAAATTAATAAGATTGAAAACTTTCTCGTTTTTTTGACAGTTGGTTTAGAGAGGGAAATAACAGAACAATTCTAAAAATCAGATTTAGAAACTTTCAGACTTTCAATTTTTCAGTGTTTTTGGCAAAAGTGCTTACCGTGAACACTCTAATAGAATCCCACCCAGACCTTTCGTTCGTTTCTTAGAAAATCGAAAATTCATAAGCTTTGTGAATCAAAAACTCAGGAATGTGTTTTAGAGAAAATTCTGAAAATCTGATTCGTGTTAAAATTTGTAATTTTGGGAATTTGCGAAGTAGAATCTCAGAAAGTCGGAAATACGGAAACTCGAAAATACAAAATTTCAAAAATTATGAGTTCTGAAATGAAGTATTTTAATAGAAAAATCTTTGAGTTCGAGAATCGCAGTTCCGAAAATTCAGGACTCCTGAATTTCGAAACTTTTGAAAAAATTATTGGTTGTCAAATTTCAAGATATTCGGGAATTCAGGAAAATTATTAGTTCTAAAAATTAAAAAAAATTTTGAATAGTTCGTGTATCAACTAAGACACATTTCTTATCTACATTTCTGATTTATCTGTTCAAGCCCAAACTCAATCGGTTAAGGCTGTTGTAAGCGGGAGCCAGAAGGTTTAGCCCCGAAGGCGCATAAGCAGACTGTCACTCCAGTTTATGAAAGTTGACAACACAATCAACTAAAACTTCGTCTTCTGATTCTCTCCGATTCGGAGATTCAAACGTTTTCAGTGAAGCCAGGAGATTTTAGCCGCCGACAGGCGGCGGAAATCGACTGGTAACAAAAATTGGAGCTGTTGAAAAGAAACCCCTGGTGGCCGTGGCAAAGGTCGTACATTGTAGACTACCGTAACCTAAGAATACTGTATTTTTCTGAATTCTACATCTGCTTTACAATGGTGATTTTTTCATATTTTATAGCAAAACTTGTATCCAAAACTTTCCAAAGTTCAACGAAAAACTTACAGACCCACCGAAACTGTGACAATTTGCTAAGCCCCGCCCATTTTGCATGTTAAGAATGGTGGTGCGCGGAACCCGTGAAGTGTCGGCTGCTTTTTTCACATTTATACTGGGAGTTTGTTTTATTCTTTGGCCAATAGATGAAAGGGGTTCGGCCCCCGGAGTATTCACTAATTCCGTTTTCACTAATATGCTACTCAGTCTCCCCTCATCTTTTATTTTTCGAGAGGATTCATTTGTGGATCCGACAATAGAAAAGAAACGGTTTTGAACGAAACTGTTCTCCTTTTTTTTTCAATCCAGAAAAATAATACTTTTGAAACTCGAATTTTTAAAATCATAAGATTGAAAACGTTTTCATTTTTTCGACAGTGGATTTAGAAAGGGAAATAACAGAGCAATAAAATTTTTTAGAGTTGGAAACTTTCAGACGAGAATGTTCAGTGTTTTTGGAAAAAGTGCATATACAGCTTTTTGCAGTTGGTTAACAAGAATGTCAACCAACCACTGTCAAACAATCAGAAATTCTGAAAGCTTTTTGAAAAACACAGGAGTTATCGCTTTGATCAAATCTCTGCTTCTATTGTCGGATTCTCAAGAGAACCCTCTCGAAAAATTAGAGATGAGGGGAAGGAAACTCTGGCTCTGGTGATGAAGGCCGGAATTGAGAAATCCTGAGGGCCGAACCCCTTTCATCTATTGGCCAAAGACATAATAACCGGCAAGTATAAATGTGAAAAAAGCAGCCGACACTTCACGGGTTCCGCTCTCTACTATACTTTACATGCAAAATGGGCGGGGCTAAAGGAGTTTTGAAGTATCCGGTATATCTGTATTTTTTTGCTAAATTTTGAAAGTGTAAGGATGCAAATTTCTCATGAAAAAAGTGTGAGAGGTTGCAATCATAACAAAAATTGGAGCTGTTGAGAAGAAATCCGTGGTAGCCGTGGCAAAGTTCGTACATCGTAAACTACCGTAACCTAAAAATAATTTATTTTCTGATTTCCAATACTGGGATATCGCCATATTCTATATGAAACTTGCATCCTTAATTTTCAAAATTCTGCGAAAAACTTATTCTGCCACCGAAAATTCCTAAATTCGCCAAGCCCCGCCCATTTTGCATGTATAGTATGGTGGAGCGCGAAACCCGTGAAGTGTCGGCTGCTTTTTTCACATTTATACTTGTCGGTTATTTTGCTCTTTGGCCAATTGATGAAAGGGGTTCGGCCCCGGAGTTTTCATTAATTCCGGTCTTTACAGGAAGGATGAGACTGTCTCCCCTCATCTCTGATTTTTCGAGAGGATTCTTTTAGGGATCCGACTATAAAAACAACGATTCTAATCAAAAGGGACCGATGCGGACTTGAATAAGCATCCAAAGAAAATATATACTTGGAAATTTGGGAACTTTTCGAAAAAAGAAACATTAAATTCTTTTTCCTATTTTTAGGATTACCATAATTGATAGGAGCTTTGGTGATTTTTTTTTTAATTTTAATTCGATTTAAACCAATTGGTTCTGACAATTCTCAGAATTCTTAATTTCCTAATTTTTATTTAATTTTTAAAATTCAAAATAGAAATACGAGGACAACAAAACAAATAAATAAAAGAAAAATCCATAAATGTACAAATAGAAGTATGAAAATAAGTAATCAAATCGGGGGAGAATGAGGAAAGACTGGAAAAATTGCACTCGCACGTTCTTCTTTTTTCATAATTCAAAAAAAAAATAGTTTCTTAGAATCTTGGCATTGGTCCGTTTTTGGAAATTTTAGAGACGATAAATGGATTTAAAAACAATCTAATGTTTTTCTGGAATCGCTTCGATTTGTTGTTTGGTTGGCTCGTTTTGGACGACGTCTTCGATTTTTCGAACGCTGAAATTAATATTTTTAATTTTTTCGAAATACTGAGAAATAAGCTAGAATGTCAGATTTCAAGTTTTTTTTACGATATGCAAAAACACTTCAAAACTGTGAGAACATAACTATGAACCGATTTGTCTCCAATAGACTTTCTGCTCAATTATCTCGCGTTGTTTAAGTGATATCAAACGTTTATAAACTACACAAATGTTGGAAATATTACGACAAACATTTTATCAGTTGACAAATTTTCGATATCTCTTACAGAAACCATGATAATTGAAGTCACAGTTCAAGTAAAGGCTCCTATGATAGGAAACACGGTATACTGAACCTTCCGCAAACACGTTGACGACAAACTGCACATTTTTAAAAGACCCTTTTCAATGATACTCACCTAAACGTAACCTTATATCGAATATCGAAAAATGCACATCCATGGAAACAAATATTCAGGAACACTCCACTGTATTCGCAAAGAGCGAATACGTCGTATGCTGAAAAATGAATTGTTTAATTTCTAGTAATTTGTGTTTCATAATCTATGTTTTAGTTGTGTCAGTGTTTTCCTGCTCGATAACGTTGAAAATTAATATACTATTAAAAAAGAAAATTTTTGAACCGAAAGTTTTTTTTCTAGATTTCGCAAAGACAGGTTTCCCATCAATCTATCTGCCAATCCATTACCAAAGAAAACTGTTTGAAACAGTAATATTTTTCACTTACCCCAAGTGATACATTTCCTCCAGTAGAGTAGGAAAGAAGCAACGAGAATTGGAGTCGATAGAACATAGAGAGATGTGAACACGATTTTCAGATAGTATGATAGACGACCCTGAAAAAAAATTATGAAGATAATCGTAGTTTTGATTATTATTAATTGAAATTTCGGAAAGATGTATGGAACATTTTAAGTTTCAATATTACAATTTCACAGCTCTCCGAACATTTTTTTGATTAACTATTAAAATTTGAAGAGTTTAAGAAAATGTAATTCTTGTAACTGTTTTTTTTTTTTGGAATGCTCTTTTTTGCAACTTTTGGCGCGCTTTTGGATACATGCCTCCATTGAGTAGTGAGACCATTGATAAAGCTTTCGATTCAGACCGAAATGTATTTCTAACTACATTTTTTTTCAGTAAAAATCACATGAGACGAAACCATGCATTTTATCTTGGTTACTGTAGAATTTATCAAAAATTAATCACGAAAAAAACTTTGGGTAAGTTTACCACTCTTTTATATCTTTCACAGGAACCAAGATAAGTTGGCTCAAAGTTCTGGGGGTCATTATATTAGAGGTTTTACAGGAAATGAATGTAACCCCATGAAATAAAATGCTCTGTTTTTGAAAAAGTCAGTATTCAACTCACATAAGGATTCAAATAATACAGTGAGTGTGCATGACAGAAGATGTTGGATATCATGTGCACGATTCCACAGATTCCAAAAACGTAGAAGAAGATGACGTGGACTTCTGGAAAAAGAATATTTATGTAGTGTGGCTGTATTGATTCACGGAACTTACGAATATTCTCTCGCTCTCCAATAATTGATAATCCTGATAAGAAAATGAGTTCCATCAATCCCACAACAAAGTACAGATATCTGCTGAGCTCATACAGCCAAACGCGTTTGTAGTTCACATTTCGCATTCGTTTGTATCGCGAAACTGGAAACGGGGTTAAGTTCGAAGAAAAAACTATTAGGGTGTGACCAAATTGAACTAATTTTTAAAATATTTTCAATACGCAATATCATAAACTTATGAAACAGAAAATAAAGGGATAAGTGTAGAGTTATACTTATGACGGTAAACGAATAGTTCTCCTGAAGTAAATTTACATTCAAATCAAAATCAAATTATAGAAAATTTCGCAACATTCAGTGTAACACAAATGAAACAGATAAAAAAAACTCACAGCCAGTAATGAGTTCTACCACTCGAATAGGTACATGGAAGAGGAGAAACAGTTGCCAGAATGTTCTTTCGACTGGAAGATTGATGATTCTGGAGAGGGATGGAAGGCGGGCGCGCTGAAACAAGAAACGTAATCACCTATAAGTGATGACACTGTCTCCCCTCATCTCTTTCATGACTAAATTTATCTCAGGACCTGGAAAAGATATCAAAATGTTACTAACTGATAAAATGTGCTCCATGATATCAAAAATACTTTGTCAGTTGATAACATTTTGATATCTTGACAGGAACCGAGATAAATTGACTCAAAATCCACGGTAAATCGTATGTATGAAAATACATTCTAATTCTCCTTAATATGAAACCTTTCAATTTCTTTTTTCTGGTTGAGGTTTTGCAGTTTGAAAAATATGTGTATGAGTAATTGGCTCCAAAAAAAATCACAAATTTACAAAATAGAAACCAAAAAAGTTCTTATTAAAGTAAAAAAAAAATGAGCGATTGCTTGATTTCTGATTGATATTATACAAAAAGATTGGAAGTGAAAAACATATTAGAATGCTTTTAGAATCTTTGAAATTAACAATAAATACAAATTCAATGTTTCCTGTTTCATCGAACCGATATTTTCAATATTATTTTTTCGAAGATCAGTATACACATGGTACTTGCACAACTCGATTATCTCAGTTCCTATAAAAAATATCGAACCTCTGTCCACTAATGAAATATTGGTGATATTATGACAAGCATTTTATCAGTTCACAGATTTTTGATGTCTCTTCAAAAAATTTGGAAAATCGAGCTCAAAGTGGAAAGACTCTATTTGAGCATTTACGATCTTTTCATTTTGATGGAAACTACTGCAATTTCCGCAAACCCCCATTACGGTAAAATGCACACAAAACTCACCCCACACTGCCAATTATAATTACTGATCTCATCATTATGAAAAATCAATGCGATTGCAATGGCTGATACTGATCCAAACATTGGTGGAATGAATCCAGCAAGGAAAACTTCCACCGGGTTCAGTCTGAAAAATTTGGGAATATGTATAAGTTATGATTCTTTCGAGGTATATATTGTCGAAGCTATGAAACTAGTCACCTCGTGTTTGCGGACTGACAACTTGACACACTAATAGGGAGTCCGCAAAGACGCAGGTGACATTATTTTCATTCCCACAATATTAACATTCATCTTGGTACGAATTGTTCATTGGTATGACCGCAGGAATTTCCTAGTGATGGGATTGTTGAAAAAGAGAAATTTTGATTTTGATGGAGGCTGTTTTTGTTATTATTAGGTAAATTTTTAGGACTTTTTTTGTTTGAAGGTTTGAAAGCATGACAAAAATTATTTTCTTGAACTGTCGTAATAAACTCGTCCTACCCGATAAAATAGAAAATGCCAAGAACACTGAAAATGAAAAATTATTCCATTAACATCTGAAACTATTTATCCGAAACAGTGAATTCCTCCGAAATTCAACAAAAATTGCTCACCTCACGATCTCTGTAATCTTCTTCCCATCTTTAATGTATGGCTCGAACAATCCCATTCGGTTAAGTGGCGGTGGTAACCGCCGACGGATACCCTTCTCGACGGATGATGTCGGAGAAGACATCCTAGAAGATTCTGGAAACTTTCAATTCGACTGCAAAAGAAACGAACGGAAAGAAGTATGGAAGTTAGGTAACATGGAAGTTTAGCAACAGAAAAAAAGAGTTTTGGGAAGAATGGACTTCTCGGAATTTCAGAATATGATAAATTTACTTCTAACAGTCAGAATTATGGTGGAGAATGAATCTTTTTTTAATTATTTAGTTTCAAGAAAAAGAAAGAAGTAAGTTGGAATATATTGAACATAGTGTCTCATCAAGTTTCGGAAACTGTGAAAAATTTTTTTTTTAAAGATTCAATTTCAAAAATAATCTGATTGCTAACTGATAGTGAAATAAGTCGATATTATGAAAAGATATTTCTCCAATTCCTGAGAAAAAAGTATAAAAACGAAATCTTCAATTGATTCGGCTAAAGTTATCTAACTAAACACTCTTATAGAACGACCCCCCCCCCCCTCTCAACCTATATGTAAACTTTGAGCTCGATTTTCTCGATTTCTGTAAAAGTCAGCAAGCTGTTTTCTGATAAAATCTATTTATTATTATGGGTCCATTTTATCAGACCCCTTTTTCATATCTCTAATAGTAAAAGGAAACGAGATACATTGGCTCAAAGTTGACTGTAGTAGACCGTTTACGTTAATTTTGTCTGTTGTATGTCTTTTGCATCCATCTAGCTCCATAATATATTTTTGCTGGTTTTGCACACCTATTTCGTAAATCGTTTTCAGCAATTTTCAATTAACACATATGAGAAAAATGAAACTGTTGTGTGGTAACACAAAGTTTTGGTTTTGACCTACGCGCTTAACGCGTATATTATTATCTCTGTTTTCTCGAACCTCTCTCGCTCTCTCCCCGTTCTTTATGATGATTGTTCCCAAGTCAGTTTTACCCCAGCCCCGTACTAGGAGTTACGTTAGTTCTCCTAGAAGTATTTTCCCCGTTTGCCGCCCCGTTTTCTAGTGTAGTAAAAGTAGTTACAATAAATAATTGTAATCTAAACAGTCTTAACTCTAGCAAAGTTAGGGACATAACAGAAACATTGAAAATAAAAAACCAAAAACGATATGTGAAAGTTTTCCTTCTCTCCCGATAAAATCTATTCCGTCATTCTCTTATTCAATTTCTTCGCCGTGTTAAAAAAAGGAACATCTTAGAAGATTGAAATCAAAGCATAAAACTAGAAACTTGGCAGAATAAATAAGAGAAATCGAAGGGAAGATCCACAAAAAATGGTATACTCATTTTTCTGTAGAGAAACGAAAAATGCTGGGTAGTTGATGACGTGTGGAGGAAAACGTATACATTTTATGATGAGAAGAAGCAGTGAGGAATCCAGTTCTGATCTGTGTATAATAAACAGCTTGATCAACTGGGTCTATCACTTTTTGGGAGAGGAAATAGATGAGGAAATTCATCATGTGTGGGGGAAAAAAATCGGAAATTCGAAATACTACTGAGCTGAGCGGAATTTCTTTTAATTTGAAAAGGAATCACTACAGTACATCAAATAATGAAACCCAAAAAAGTTGTCTTGTTTTGTAGAAGTTCTGCAACAGAACATTGAAATTTATTTTTCTAACTTCTCAAAAAAAAAAGTTGTTTTCAGCTTGATATCAAAGATTGAAGAGGTACAGCGAATTTCTCATTGCTTTATCTTGTCTAGAAAAGTATGCAGATCCACATGAAAATAAAGAAAACTTTTTAAATCTTAAAAATAGACGAAGCCAATAGTTGCAAGTTTTTTTCAGTTTGAAAATGAGCTGATTAAACATAAAATCACAAGAGTTGCGAAAATCGAAGTTCGTTGTAGTTTTCCTTAAGCTTTTTCAAGTTCCGGGGCATCTATCTTATTTTTGGCTTTTATTACCAACATGATAAGTAATTTAATGGGCTAGCGTATTTTCTTTAATAACCGCCCACACTAACTGTCAACTTTTAGCTCAATAATCTCGATTTCCGTGAAAGATATCAAAATTTAGTCAACTGATAAAATATTGGTAATATTACGATGAATATTTTGTCTGTTGATCACTTTTTGATATCTCTTACAGGAGATGAGATATATGGACTCAAAGTTGACGGTTTGGTTGGGCTTCTATTAGAGGAAATACGGTAATTGCAGCAATTCAAAGTTAGAGGTTTGTTTTTTTTCTACACTGTACATACCACAGTCTATTGAGAACGCATGATAAAGAAAATAGGGAAAACTGAAACTGATAATTTTTGTAAAAATTCATTTTTCAAAAGGATGACAAGTACCGTATTTCCTCTAATAGAAGCCCACCTCTATTTGAAGCCCACTTCTAATAGAAGCCCACCCTCTGACGTGCTTAAAAATATAGAAGCGCATCCTCTAACAAAAGTTCATGCAGTTCGGTTAGTGGTGCAGTTTGAACAGTTCCGTTCGTGTGTTCGGTAATTGTAGGCATTTTCTTTCTATTTCAAAAAATTTCTGGTAATTTCAGTTTTTGGTAATTTCCTAAAAAGGAGGTTGAAAAATAGAAGCCCATGGGCTTCAATTAGAGGAAATACGGTATGTTCATGTTTCATGTGACTATTATATCATCGTTTAAAAAAAACTTTCAATGTTTTCAATAGAATACATGAAGCAGTAAAAAATCAAATTTTGAGATAAAAGAGAAGATTTTGATAAAATATCACAATACCAACTTTAACACATTCAATCTGGTTCCTTACAAAGATATAAAAAATGTCAGCTAACAAAATATTCCTCATAACTTCAACAACTTTTTATCAGTTTATCACTTTTTGATATCATTCGCAGTAACCCAGATAACTTGTGTCAAAGTGAGATAACCCTACTTTCATTTGAACTTTAGGCAAACAAACGAAGCTGAAGTGCCAATTAACAAATAATGAGATTATCAACAAGAAATAAGTATGAAACCGTGAAAAAGTACAAAAAAGGACAAAAAGTGAGAATAAGAATAGGTCAATCCATGGACAGACAGATTCTGGATCTTCTTATCTTTTTTCCATTCTAACTTCACACTCCATCAATTGTATCAAAAAGAGGATGAGATGAGGCTGAGAGAGAGAGAGAGAGAGAGAGAGAGACGCAGAGATGAGAGAATTGAAACTCTCTGAGAAGAGTGGAATGAGAAACGGGAGGGGGTTGATTGAATGGGAAAACGAAGGAACTGGATTTCGACTGTGGATTTGTGTGGGATGATGAAGTTGAGGGATTGGCATTCTGTAGAAGAAGAAAGAGAAGCTTCAAGACGTTTTTATGGTGTGAAAGGAAACAGCCACAAAACATCTGGCCTTTTTTGTGTTATGCTTGTGTGTGGAGGATTAGAAATTTATATTGCGGCGGTAAGACGAGGAGAATTAGGAATGATAAAAATGTTAGAGCTATGACCACCGTGTGAAACTGCATTATTTTTGTAAATAGGAAAAAAATCTCAAAATACTGGCCGTCAACTTTGACCCAATTTTTCTTGGTTCCTGTCAGAGGTATCAAAAAGTTGTCCACGGAAATGATGCTTATCATAAAATCAAAAACAGTTCACCACTGCTGAAATATCTTACAGGAAATGAGATAAATAGAGTTGAAGTTGGCATTTTAGGGTCATACAGGTTTTGCGGTAACAATCAAACTTCTTGTTAGAATTCAACGTTTTTCTTTGAGCTGATACCAGTTATCTGATCTTTTTTGAATATTCGATAGATCAAATGAAATTACTCGATGAATCGATCGGGCCGAAATTTAAAAATCAGATTTATTTGTTGCATACTGAACAAACTATGAAAGTTAAACGAATTATGGAAGTTTTGAAAAAAAAAATTTTCTGAAGCTTTCTAATTACACATCGAAAGTTTAAAGGAAAATGCTGAAAATTGAACTATATGCCAACCTATACTTGCACTTTAAGCTCAATTATCAAAATTACTGTAAGAGATATCAAAAATTTGTCAACTGATAAATTGTTTATCATAATATCATGAACGCTTTTTTAGTTTACAGATTTTTGAAATCGCTTACAGAAATTGAGATAACTGCGCTCAAATTGTAAGAATATGGCTTCCTATTAGAGCATTTGTGGTTTAGCATATATGTTAATTGTTTGAAACAGAAAGTTGCAAGAATTGTGAAAGTTTTCGGTTCTTGTTTAATCATAATTTCCTAATCGTATATCGTCTATGTTCTTTTCAAATTTATTGTAATTATACTTTAGAGAACTGAAAATCATTAGAGAATCCTTGTTTTTTTTCCAGAAGCGTTGGAAAAAAGTTTGAATATTTTCAAAAATTGAGAGCCAAATGTTGGAGGCGCATGCCTATGACAGAGTACCACATTCTCTCAATCTGAATAAGACATCGAAAATACTTCTGTTCCATCACTTTTAAGTAAGACTAAAGTAGTTTCGAAATGTGTTATGCAGATCAAACCGAAACTAATGTCAAATTAGGAATCCATCTGACTATCCGACTACTCTGCTTGAACTTTGTTTTCTGACCATATAGAAAAATGTTTGTTCTTGTACATATACCCTAGTTCCTGAAAACTCCAAAAATTATCTTTCCCGCTTTTTCAAACAACACACAATTAATTGTAAGCTTTTTTGACAAATTGTATAGAAATTCTGGGAGATAACAAAATATATGAAGCCTGAATTTTCTCTTTCAATTTGTCAGGGGCCTGAAAAACAGAGAATGTATTCAAACTGAAAATTAGTAAAGTTTTTCATGAGATTTCATATAAAAAACTGATCGAAGAGATTTATGTGATAATCGATACAAATAAAAGTATACTCTAGCAAGTGCTGAAAACATTTTAAAGGGGGACTCCGACCAAAAATTTTTATTGCATTAAAATGTGTTAAAAGTTATCTATTTTCCTAATATTATTGCAAAAAATTTAAAAGAAATCCGAAATCCTCGAAAAACGCCGTTGAAAATGAAAAAAATTCAAAAAAGGTGCCGCCGAGGGACGAGGATTTGAATTCCCGCGCAGTGAGAAACCTAGGCTACGGCGCCTGAGAGCATTATTTTCAAGTGGCCGACAGTGTTTTTTAACGTTTTTCACCTGTTGGAGATAAAAGCGAGAAAAATCCGGAAAATTTGCCGCATAGGAAAGGCTCCCGCTGCCGTGGCCTAGGTTTCTCACTGAAAATCCTCGTCCCTCGGCGGCACATTTTTTTGAATTTTTTTCCTTTTCAACGGCGTTTTTTGGGAATTTCGGATTTTTCTCGAATTTTTTCGCAATAATATTCTGAAAATAGATAAATTTTAACACATTTTGATGCAATAAAAAAATTGACCGGAGTCCCCCTTTAAACTTACTCAGAGTAACAACTTCGAGTAATGAATTCTCGAAGTTGTTACTAAAAAGAGTTTGAGAAACAGTACAATTTTCGGATTCGATTGGAACTGGATCCTTTCGCGACATTGCTCTACCTAATAAATACTTGTGTTCTGATAATAATGAAGCAGTAATGTTTTTTTAAACTTTTTTGATGAGCAATGGAATTCTTTTTCGTATTGACAAAGAGCATGAACATCGCTTACAGAAGTTGTTTCAAGTTAGTAATTGAAATTCGTTCAAATTAGATCGGGATATACCGTGAATACTTCTTACTGTAAATGCGCTAACCACCCTTTTTGGGCTCAATTGTCTCGGTTCCTATAAGATATACAAAAAAAGTCAGCTGGTGAAATGTTTATAATAATATCACTAACATTTTTAAAGTTTTCAAAGTTCGCACATTTTTCATATCTCTCACAGAAGCTGAGATAATTGAGTTCACAGGTCAAAAACGATGGAAGTTTTCATGCACGCACGATACAATCCAATGATTTTCAGTCTAAACTAAAGCAGTGACTAACTATACTCACTTCTTGAAACACTAAAATTTTTTCATTTCTACTATTCCGGTTTTTTGGGGTTGAAGTACTCTTCTATCCTTTTTTTTGGAGGAAACTTGTTTGTTCGAGAAGTGATACTATAGGGCTTCGAATCGGCGATTCTACCAGATCAGTGATTTTTTTTGGAAGATGAATATAGCAATTTTACTGTTTCAGGTCAGTCGCAAAGTTTGAGTTTGATTTAGCATTCCGTTTGTTGAATTTTATACATATTAATCTAGTACAAAAAATGGGATCCATGGAAGGGCTTATGGCTGTGTCCCTAATGTCCTACTGTTATCGTTTTTCACTATTTTTCCTCCAGAAAAGTCGGAAAATAAAAAATTGTGTGTAGCATACTTGTAAAATTCTGGGCCGGCCCGCCAAAGCCCGGGCCGGGCCGGGCCTGAGGAAATTTTCAAGGCCCGGTGTCAAAAATTCTGTATTTTTGAGCCAAATTTTGAGCTCTCAATATAATTTTTTCCATTTTTTTTCGTATTTCGGATTGTTTGTCTGTCTGATCAAAAAAGATCGAAAAACTCAAAAAAAAAAGGGTCCCCCCTTATGTGTTTTTTGAAAATTTCGAAACTAGTGAAATGACGGGCCCGCCGGGCCTCCGAAATTCCGGAAAAAGCCCGGCCCGGCCCGGTCCGGCCCGGCCCGTTACAAATATGGTGGGTAGTGAACAAGCTGACTAAAAATTCACGAAAATCGAGAAAAGACAATGCAGAAAATAAACATTTTTCAGGTTACGATAGTTTTATTATGGGATCTTTGGCTCCGATTTTTTTTGTAACAGAACAATAACACATATTTCAGGTTACGGTAGTTTTCGGTTCGAGCCTCCATTGAGTAGCGATTGATATAAACTACAGTATACCTGACTTCAATTCAACAATTTAACATAATTTTTCAAAAAAATATCGCCGTTCAGATTCCAATCATTAATACAACCTGTGGCAAACAGCTGCGACGAACCCGTTAATTCTCTTATCTGCCGACGTCATCAGACGGCGGCGTCGTTGTACAGACAAAAGTGTCTAGATTTATGAGGAGAGAAAAGTGCAAAATTTGAAAAAAAATGTTAGGTTTTTTTTGGGAAAAACTTGGGACCCACACCGAAAACTACCGTAACCTAATAATGTAATCTCTCCGGTTTTTTCTCGATTTTTAGTAGCGCAAATCCGTTTTATAGTGAGAAATGACCGGAAAATAGCCAAAAAATGAAGAAAAGAGAATAAATCGGAAAATAAAACTACTCTTTAGGTTACTGTAGTTGTCGTTGTTAAACCTTTTTTCCACCGAACCGATTTTTTGAAATTTTTGAAAAAAAAACAATTTTTTTCGATTTTTTTTTGTTTCCGGCCCGAATTTTTTCAGTCGCAAAATGAATGTTTTCTGTGGTTCTGAAATGGGCAGAAAATCGATAAAACCGGAAAAAAATATTTCTCAGGTTACGGTAGTGTTCGTTGTGAGACCTTCGTTTAAAGGTGTTTTTCTAACTTATTATGTCGTGAATAAGCCTCAAATAAGTAAAATAACTCTGAAATAGGCTCAAGTAATCCCTAAAATGCTAAAATAAGCCTAAAAAAGCTAAAATAGACTAAAGTGAGCCTGAAATATGCTAAAACGAATAAAGTAAGCCTGAAAACCCTGAAATATGCTAAAACAAGCCTAAAATACGTAAAACAAGTCTACATTATGCTGAAATATGTAAAATAACCATAAAATAGGCTAAAGTAGGCTGAAATAAGCTGCTAAAACATGCTGAAAAATAAGCTTGGAATATTTTAAAATATGCCTGAAATAGGCTAAAATTAGCTTGAAATATGCTAAAATTAGCCTAAATTATGCAACAATAAGTTTAAAATAGGCTAAAATTGACCTAAAATACGTAAAACAAGCTCAAAATAGGCCCTAAAATTTAAAATAAGCCAAAAAATAAGCGAATTTTCAGCTTAAAATCAATAAATGTTCAAAAATCCAGAAAACGAAAATTTCGGAGATGAAACAAAAAGGGAAAAGTTTTACAAACTTTCTTTCGAAAATCGAAGAAAAGAGAAGGATCTTCTGCTTCTTCTTCTTCTTCGTCCGTCGTTTTCTCATCTTATCCCTTCTCCAAAACTTGTCTTCTTCTTCCGAATCATCAGTCAGTCCGTCCGATTGGCATTACGCTTTTGCTTCGTCTGTCTTTTTTCCCTTTTCTCCTCGATCCCCAAATCGTCGTCTTTTTCGGGATGAATTGAAGGATGCCCTTTCCTTGCGGCCGATTAGCCGCCAAACTGTTATTGAAATCCCCTCAAACCGGTTTGGGTCACAACTTTCGAATTTTACAAAAGAAAACGTCTCGGAGAGGAAGAGAGAGGTCAGGTTTATCTACTACTTTTTCATGGAAAATTGAGGGAGAAAAAAGAGAAAAAATGGCTAAAATGGGGGATAATTATACAAAAAAGGAACAAAAAAACTGATATGAATCATTTATTGGTCAGCTTTTGGCGACTTCTCGTCGGTCACTCCGTATGGTCGTAGCGCTGGAATCTTCTCCTTCAGCCATCGAACGTAGAAGAGCTCTTGTCTCTGGAAAAATATGGATTTTGGAATAAATTTAGGAGAATTTCAGCAATTTTCTACAGTTTCTAGGGGATCCCACGAATTTTAACCAATTTTGAGCGAATGTTTAAGCGAATGTTAAGCTTGATTTTCAGCGTTATTTTCGCAAAACTGGTTAAACGATAATTCAAAAATTGTCCCATATCGCTCGAAAGTCGTCAAAAACCTAAAAAATTAGCCCAAAATTACCCCGAAAAATCGGTTTTTATGCACCAGAATGATAATTTTAAGAGAATTCCAGCGATTTTTCGCAATTTTTGGATAATTTTCAAGGAAATTCAACGAATTTAAACCAATTCTGACCAATTTCCAGCAAATGTTCGGGGTAATTTTTAGCGGAAAAAGAGGTTTTTAGCGTTTTTTGGCAAACTTCTTTCTACTGAAAAAAAAACTTCTTTCTACCGCAAAAAAATTGACCGATTTCTGAGTATTTTTAACGATTTTCTTTTCTAAAAATGCAAATTCTTGGTTTTTCTTGGGATTTTAGGCGTAATTTCCCAACAAACCTGATGAGGTGCGACGAGCGACGGATTATTCTGGATGGTGTAGTAGGCGACGTGCATGGCTGAAAAAATTGAAAATTTTAACTCTGAAAATCGTCAAAAAACAACCATCGCTTACACACGATGAGACCGGCGAAGAGGCCGAGTTCGGTGACGGTGCGCTTGTTGACCATTGTTGATGGGGAGAGGCTGAAATTCTTAAAATGAGTAAAAAACTGCAAATTTGGGGAAAAATACAAACTTAAAGCGGTAAAAGAGATAGTTGAGATCATATTTTCAGTAGAAAAATAAGAAAATGGCTATTAGAAGAAAAATGATGACAATTCAGCTGATGTTTGCACTCTTGTCTCTATCTCTCCGCCAGTCTCCTACGTGACTATTGGCGGGTACTAAATTTTCCGTTTTTAGGAACTTCCATGAGTCCAATGAACGATGTACTTTGAAAAAAATATAGATTTATAGTGTTAGTAGCTTTAAAACTAGCGATTTTTCCAATCAATTTTTAGCTGACAAAATGCCGAAATTTCCAAAAATACAAACCGAAGGCAAAATTATGTTTTTGTAGAGGATCTGGACCCTCACCGTAGTTTTTTTCATGGTCTGGCAGTAAATTTAAGCTGAATTAACCGAACTTTTTATTCAAATTGACCCAAAAAACTGTTAATTTTAAAAAATTCTCGTCAAAAATCAAAAATCGTAATTTTTCTAATTTTTGGTTTTTTTCCAGTTTATTGGCACTTTATTACCAATCCTGAGTACTTTTGTTAACTTTACAGCACAAAAACCGAGAAAACATGTAAAATTTCATTTTTTAACAAAATTCGATTTCATGATGCAATAGCTGATTTTTTCAGAAGTTTTTTGGGACGAAAAAGTGTAAAATTTGATTTCAAGGCTTTTTTAACTGAAAATGCTGAAAGAATAGAGAAAAATCCGTCCAAAAACAATGAAAAAATGCTGGAAATCGTTGAAAATCCAGCTCGCCCAAGCGTGATACGCGGAGCGTCGTTGCAGCTTCTCTCGTCTGCGTCTCTTTGTTTTCAACGCTCTCTCAATGTTTTTAGGCATTTTTTCAAATTTAAAAAGATTTATTCTCAAAAGAGAGGTCGATATGTACAAAAAAGACAGAAGAATAAAGAATTTCCCAACAAAATCTAATATCCTGGTGCAGTTCTTGGTGGTGGACAGTGTGAGCATCCTCCAGAAGCTCCCAGTGCCCCTTGAGCTCCCGGCTCTCCGTCGGCTCCCGGTCCTCCTGGTGCTCCATCGAATCCTTGATCTCCCGGTGGTCCCGCCGGTCCCTTATTTCCAGGCCGCCCATCATTTCCTTTGGTCCTGTGGGTCCTTGTGCTCCAGGAGTTCCACGTGGTCCCGGTGGTCCTGCTGGTGCTGGAACTTCTCTAACTTCTCCAGGAACTCCATCGCTTCCACGATTTCCATTCCGTCCGTTCTCTCCACTTGGTCCACGCTCTCCTTGCTCTCCTGGTCGTCCACATCTCCCATTTCTTCCTGGAACTCCGTCCATTCCAGGTCTCCCGGCATTTCCTTGTGGTCCTGGATTTCCTGGGGGTCCTGGTGGTCCTTCTGGGCAATCGATTTCGAATTCTGAACCATCTGATGCTCCATTACTCAAATCCCGGCCATCTTGTCCTGGTCTTCCAGCTGGTCCGTCTTGTCCATCACGTCCTGGACGTCCTGGGAATCCTGGTGGGCCGGCTAGCCCGATTCCACAGCTACAGCAAGAATCTTGAGAAGATGATGATGACGTGGCGGCGTCGTCATATGGGGATGGCGCTGGACGGCTTCCAGATGATCTTGCTGGTTGAGCTCCATATCCGGATTGACGTTTTTCGATTCTTGAAGAAGGCTTGGTAGATTCATACATGCTTTCGAGATTTTTAGCTCCATAAACACAGAATCCGACCTAGAAAAATTGCATTTAATTGAAAATAAAGGAAAAAAACACTATTTTCAGTTCTAGAAAAGGCTAAAAAATGAATCACTACGTCTAAAACTAAGAAAAAAGCTAAATAAAGTGTGCTATTTGGCTTCTAAAAAGAGCAAACACAGGTGATTCGTGATTGACCAATCACAGAGATAGGGCTATAAACGACCAATTACTTATCTACCGGGAAATAGTGGTTCTACAATTGACCAATCGCGAGCAAAATGCGTATCTTACTAACTGGCCCCATAAAAGGTCCACAATAGACCAATCGCGAAAAAATTCTTGTTTTTTATTTTCCGAACTTCCTTTCCCTATTTCGGGTATTTTACTTCGTTTTTTGCCGTTTTTTTTTCGCATTTTTTGTCTAGAAACTACTACTCGACATATAACATTATACTAGAATACTGTATAAGAATGAATTTCTCTTTTTGTTTTCAGAAAAAGAGGAAAAAGGAAAATTTTCAATGACCGGGAATGCAAGGTTGTCGGAATTCAAAAGTCGGAAGTTAGGAGTCAGAATTCCGGATAATTCTGAAGGTAGAAGAGACTCGTACTTCAAAAATGTAAGGAGCCAGCAGAAAGTCCGAATTTCCAATATAATTTTTACAGGAAGCCAGAAAATCACAAGTTTCCAGAAAAGAAGAACCGGAGAAAGAGGAAGAAAGAGGAAGGAAGAGGAAGGAAGAAAGAGGAAGCAAGAATCAACGGTGGGTAGATTTGAATCAAAATCTCGAGAAAAAACATTCTAATTTCAGATGGCGTTGGTCAAGAAAATATTAAATGCGGGAATGTCCAATTCGAGAAGTTCAACAAGATTTCCAGCCGATATAATCTATCTGAGGTACAGTACAGAAGCTAGTGGCAGCTTCAAATCTAGATGAATTGTTTCAGTTTGCTAGCCGAAAACCTTAACCGTCTTCTCCACCCCCACTTGGACCATCATCGAAAAAGGCAAAAACTGACAGAAGGAGAAGCTTCGACGCCGTTCCAGCCAGCAAAACTACATCGAAAGTTAAACATATAACTTTTAAGCAATTTATTTTGTCTTTTTTTATTATTTTTTCTGTGTAATAAATAATTTCTAAGCAGCGGCTAGCTTCCAGATTCGAAAAAATATATGCCAATTATTGCTCTCGCGACAAGCCAATTGTAGGAGATTTGCTCGCGATAGGGCCAATATTGGTCGTTTGCGGTGGCGCGTTCGCGATTGGTCTGTAAATGGCCTGCGGCAGGCATGTTCCGATGTACCCATGGCGTCTTTCCGCGAACAATACTTCACCTATTATAGACGCTGCGCGAATCACCTGTGAAGAGTGAAAACTCCCATTCGGGTTCGAACCAAAAACCACCAGCTCCAGCGACGAGCCTCTTCACCACTACACCACGCGCACACTTGCAAAATTCCACAACAAAAGTCGGATATAAAGGGCGCGGCGGCGACACCATAACGACTAACCGGAAGCCCCCTAGCCCCGCAACTTTGAGCTCAATTTTCTCGATTCTTATGAGAGATATTGAAAACTTGCCAACTGATAAAATATTTATCATAACATCACCTTCATTTTATCAATCGGTACATGTTTGATATATTTCACAGGAATCGAGATAATTGAGCTCAAAGTTGACGTTATGGGTGGACTTCTATTACAGGAAATGTGGGACATCACTCTGCACAGAATTAATTATCGTATGTCTGTGAAGAGAAGAAAGACTAAATTGAGGGTGGTATTTGGCCGGAAACGCTTTAAAACACTTTTCTAAAACCGCAAAAAGAAAATAACCAGAGATGGGTTCGAACCAAAAACCGTCAGCTTCAATGACAAGCCTCTCCACCACTACACTACGCGCGCACTCTAAGAACGTTACCTCACAAGCCGGATATAAAGGGCGCGGCGGCCACAACAACTCACATCACTCTGCACCGAACTCTGAATGTATTGAAGATAGGTGTACAGTCCAGGAATCAAAATGATGCACATAATTCCAGCAGCAGCGCTAGAAAAAAGAAAATTCTAGATTTCAAAAGTCCCAAAAAAAAGCGATACCTGACAACTGTGGCGACAAAAGCCACTCTCCGCAGCTCATCCTCCTCCGAATCGCCAGTTAATTTCTTTTTGAGATCCATTTTGGGTTCTAATCATTATCAAGCCAAATCCCCCAATTTATAGGGAACACTTTCTTATCACTTTACTGCTTTATTACGGTTTCATTTGCGGAAGGATACATAGATGGAAAAAAGTAGTTGAAACTGGCAATAGTGTTACATCAAAAGGTTTAGACATATTTAGTGGAAAAAAGTTGCAAAAAAAGAACATCTGCGTTAAGGAACCCGTTTATGGGGATCAGGAAGGGGAGGGCATACAAAATAATACAATGCAAATATCCAGTTTTTTGGGGTTTAAAAATACAAAAAACACTGATGTGGATGATAACATCAATCAAAATTTTTTTTTAGAATTTCAGAAAAAACATTTCAGTGTTTCAGGATTTTTTCAGAATTTCAGAGATTTTTTTCAGATTTTCAGAGATTGAAATTTTCAAAATTTGGTAAAATCGAAAAAATTGAACATTTTCAGTGCGATTTGAATATTAAAATGACTAAAAAAGTCAAATTTTCGAGAAAAAAAACTGCAAAAAACTCGAGAAAAATCTGAAATTTCAGAAAATTGAAAATTTCAAATTCGGCAAAATTCGGTAAAATTGAAGAAAAATTGTGACTCTGGGCTAATTTTTCAGTGAGGCTTGAATATTAAATGACTAGATTGAAGGAAAAATTTCAACAAAAAAACAGTGTAAAAAATTAAAACATTGAGAATTTTCAAGGCTAATTTTAGACTTGACTAATTTTTTTGGGGAATTTCAGTTTAAAAAGGCACAAAAAATTAAAAATAAATTATATACACAATATGAGACGCTTCTTCTTCTTCTTCTTCTCTTCATAAAGCTCCTCACATGGCCTGATCATCGACATACATGAACTTCCATTTGCTTGGATTCGACGTGTCAAGCAGGAAAAATTGATTATTGGCCCATGTGATAAGCATTGGCTGATTCAGCACCACACTGATTCTCGACGACACCTTGAACAGGAGCATTCCATGACATTGCTCACCAGCAAACTGTTGAAGTGCCTCTCTCATATGAGCCTCATCCCGTTGCTCAATTCTACACGGCACATACAAATGCTCCTCTGCTCCATCGTATTTCGCAATATAGAATTCAAAATGCGCGGGCGATGGTCCGTTGGTGGGGCGTGGATACCGTCCCGGGGTTCCTCTCCAAAGCTTCCGAAGACTATGAGCAATTTGGAATGTTGGCTCGAAATTCGGATGACTCGTCACCTCGTGAGCATCGTCGAAGGTGTCGATTGCACGACGTTTTGCGGATGGTTGCGATGACGTCGTTTCGAGAGGCTCGGTTTTTGGAATGATGAGTGGAGGGATGGTGCTGGTGCTCGGGGTGGCCGATTGCATTGGCTGAAACTGGAAATTTTCGTGGAAATGGGAAGATTTTTGGGAGGGAGGGAAGGGGTTAGGCTCTAAGACTCAATGTGAATTGAAGCGGAAATCCTATTTTTTGTGCTCGTGAGCCAAAAAAAAAAGAATTTTCCATTTTTTATACTAATTACAGTCATTGAAAAATTTGCAAAAAAATCAGCTTTCAACAGAAATTCTTGACGAAAAACGAAATTTTGGAAAAAAATTTGAAGTGGGCGGAGCCTAATTTTTCCGCACATTTGCACAAATACGGTCAAAGGAAAACTGTGCGCAAAATCATCATAGTTGCAAACGAGCCGGCCCGGGCAGGTGGGCGGGCTGGGCAGATAACTCGGNTTCANAACAAAATATTTTGACGGATTTGATATCAAATGATAGATTTCGACGAGGCCCATGTTCTCTTTACCATACGG